CACCAATCTGACTATCTCCAGCGACGGCACTTCTTCTCCGTGCGGAAAGTAGGCCGAGCAGATGACGAACTTCCTGGCATCCCCAGCGCTGCTAACCGCTGTCACCTCCACTGCCGTCAGGTCCCTGGAACATACTTCATGCAGGAGCCGTGCATCTAGCCCGTTAACCGTTATGCACGCCCTAGGCCTCTGTTCGGTGGGAGCTTTAAAAAGCTTGCCACCCCCTTGACACATCCACGGACAACCCATGATTCTTGTATCAAGGAAATGGCTGTGTGCATCACAGACTGGCTCCTGGCTAGAACCGCCGAGGCTCCTTTGCTGTGATGCAGGTTAATCTGGGTAACCCCTATCACCGACCAGCCCATTATACAAGCTAGTCTTTAGATCGGGGCTCCTCCTTGCTCCCCCCTCACCATGAGATCGAGTCACTTAACGGTGATCTGCTCGATCCCATAGCATAGCTTGGAGTCCCGCCCCCTTAGCTTGAGGACGCTGGACTCCAAGATGCCGAAAACATAGTTCCTCCCCTTCGGGGAAGCACCCACGTTTTCGGCAAAGACGCGCCAGTTCAGAGCGCCAATGCCTGGATTCTGCCTCTCCAACAGCGTCAGGACGGCAGCCGCAGGCCTCGGAGGACCCGGAACCCAGACTATAGTCCTGTGCCGCCTCTGGAGCTCATCCAAGCCCACCACTCTGAGCTTGGCGCCCTCCCACGGCACCATGCCCCCCACCCGGCCTACCAGTTAAGGGATGCCGCGTCATGTCCTCTAACGATGACTGCCCCATTCTTGAGGGTAGCCAGTCCCACGAATCTGGGCAGGGGACCCTCCTGGATCCTCTCCATCTCCGCCAGAACCGCCCCCTGAACAAGGTCAGCTGCTCCGGAGTGATCCCCCTCTCAGGGTACCCCTCCAGAATAACCACCCTTGCCAACGGGTCAGCCATCGCTGCGAAGGTCCCAGTTTCCTGAGCCCTAGGCTTCTTCACCGTTTTCTTAACCGAGGGGGGGGGTTTGATCAGAGCCCGCGCGGCGCTTTTTACCGGTGAGCCCTGTTGCCCCCTCCACCAGCGTAGTAAGGGCCGTCGAGGGACCCGGAGCTTGCCCTTCAGGAGCCTTCTCTTTGTCCCTCTTTGCCCTTCTCTTCTGGGCCCCGCTACGATTCCTCTTATGAGGTGCCCGCGCATCACCCGCATCACTCCCGTTTCTTTCCGAGCCCGAAAGGACCCGTTCCAAAACAGGAGCCATTTCTACCTCTGCTGCGACCACCTCGCTTTCCGAGCCCTTGCAGGCCTGTACTTGCGGCGCGATCGCAACAGTTCCCGCCGAGTGCCCTTTCGAGCCCTCGGTTACTCTTGTATGTTTAAATTTTTAAAATCATCCATGCAAGTCCCACGAGTAGCTAGGGAACGACTATGTCCACCCACGCAGAGCCCCGCATGCGTGGGTAAGGCTAGATACTCTGGGGTTTCGCCCGGTGCCCCAGAGGCATCGATCACGACACTGCTCCCCCAGTGCCACGCAGCCTTCACCTCGATGGCTTCCAGCTTGGCTTGGGGGGCTGGTCCACGGCAACGGTCTTCCCGAACCCACGCAGGGCTTTACACATGGAGGTCCGTTGTATAACCGTCCGTGTATAACCGTCACTACCCGGAGGTACCTCCAGTCACACACGGGGTTTTACACCCGGGAGACCGGACACCCCTCCGGGCGTCCTCCTATCCGCCAGCTGGAGACGCGCCCGATAGGTAGCCCAACCCACGGGATTGTGTAACTTAAAAGTTAATGAAATTTAAGAACATTTCTGACAGTGTAGCCAATCTTTATTGTGTAATCTAACTAACCTTGTTTTAGTGCTTAAATTCAATGAATATGGAATTAGAACATTGAAATTCAAGTGTAGCTATCAGTATATTAGTTATGTAATGCTCAAACATTGTTACTTTTTTAGTTGAACTTCACTGATTATCAGAACCAAGTATGCCACAGAGTAATTAGTGACTGTTCACTGATTCAGATTTGGAGAATATAGAGCTTTTGAAAATACCGTTCTAATGTAATACTTTTCGTATTATACTTTAAGTGTAACACCGGAGGGGATGGACGGAATAAAGGTCTAACTAATAACAAAATCTTGATTTTAATGCAAATTAAAATAAATTACTACTTTTTTATTATACACAAAAGGGTACAATATCAAATAAATTTATGTTATCTCCTTAAGAAGTTACATGTTACAATATTTCTCTATTACGATCATCAATAATATATAAAAAAATAATATCTTGAAAAAGGGCCTAAGTAGAGTTGAGCCTTCATTCCTCCCGTCCTCTTAATTACTCTATAAAAGCTTCGACATTATTTCTAAATGAACACCGAGAAACCCATCCAAATTTTGAGGGGAGGCCGTCATGTTCTTTTTCCGATTCATTAACAAATTGGTACTCTGGAATTACAAGCAATTATTGGTCATTGTACGGGCTAGTATAAATTTCAAATCGAATCTCTATAAACGACTTTTATATTTTGTGCACAAAGAATAACATATCGCACTTATTTTCTAGAATAAAATTGAAGTCTGTGTTTTACTTGTATGTATGTATGTCCGTTTTGAACTCGCACCTTTAATAACATATGAGTTACTTTTCGTGATAATATATTATATTAAATTTAGATAATATATACTTTATGCATGTTCACTTTGAACTGACCTTTATTAATACATCAGTTACTTGTCCTGGTAATAATAATAATAATAATAATAATAGTATCCTGGGAGGCAGCCCCTAATTGGGGCCCACTAACGACACGCAGACCAAGTCCATTGTGTCTTCCCAGCCGTACTAACCCCAGGTCAGCTCAAACCAGTCTTCCTCCAGAAGCGAAGGAGATCCCTGACCTGAAGTTGGCATACCTGCTCCGACTCGAGGAATATCGAGCCCAGTAGAAGCCGCCTGTATCCAGCATACGCTGGACATTCGCACAACACGTGGAGAG